GCATATTAAGATTAGATTTGTCTTTTAAATTGTGCATATAATTTCATTTATTTCTCTAAAATTAACCAGAATTGTTCCGCAGTATTTTGTCCGAAATAAAAGATACAGAAACTCAGACAATATATATACATATATTACTCGTTGTAATTAGAAACGCTATTTTCTCTGGATTATATGGCAGATATAATTTGTTAGACTTCATAATAAATTAGAAATGAAATACCTCCCGGTTGTTAAAACGCCCTTTGCCTACGCCAATTGTAATTAGCAACTTCCGCAAGATTAAAATTCCTTCGCGAATCAGTGAAGCGCCGTAAAATCGCCTGTAAACGCTGATTTCATTGGGCGATCGCGCTGTGTCGCACCGTAATGACCGCGATAACCGATTATGGCCCTGAATTATGAAGGAAGTTTTAAACCGTCCCGCCTTCATTGGCAAACGCAATTAATTAACGAGGAGCCACCCGCCTACGAATTATTCGATCCTCTTCTATCTATCTATATAGCTGCACGCGTTCACGAACGGGATTGTCATTTGGGCCATCGGAACGTTGGAAACTCGCGTGTAGCGAGAGACAAATGCATCGTTGAAATATGTAAGCGAGAATCCGTTACGGTTAATGCGTCTGTCTCTCCCTCGTGCTTCCTAAATGCGTTTAGTTGACGAAAAACGTAACAAATTGCTGGCGCCATGCGAACGTCGTCGACTCCGTAAGAAAGCCCCCGTTTCTGGCATTGACAGCTGGATAATGTTGCAAGCCTCTTATGGCGAGGCATTACGTCGCTTGGCGGTATCATCGTGTCTGTATCCCTCGCGCACTAGTACTTGAATTGGTAATTTCAGTACGCGTCATTACGCACAGACGCTCCTATTATGGTGCTCTGTCTGCGACAAAGTCAGGCGTATTTTTAACGATGCGGAAATGCAAAGAAGTTTACGAAGTAGCGCGACAATTGATTGTTGCAAAATAAGTTCTCATTATTAAAAGACAGTGCTTTTTTTTGTTTATTAAACTTTTCGCCATTTTCAACTCTCAATTCCTGTACGCACGAGCCCTGTCGTCGCGATATGACGGCGTTATTTCGGGAATATTATTACAGCAAACTGAGAGATGTAATACGCAGCGCGCTCCCGAGTTCCGAAATCGCTCATAATTATGTCAAGAACTTTATTCTATGTGCGATTTTCGCGTCGACGTGATTTCCCCCGCGATATAGTCGCGTTCGATCCGTGAAGCGCACGAGCTGCGCCCGGGGAGGGATTTGATGCGGTACTTTAAAAGTACGTGGCACACTCCGGCTATACCTACAACTACATGGTGCGCCGATTCGCTATCGTTTCGTCTAAACTGTCTCGCGATATCGATGAGAGAACGTGGCGCGCGCCCCGCGGAACATTGCACTGTGGTCTCGTGGAAGAAATTGAACTCCGCGAAATCCAATAGGTTTCGGATCGAATCGGAGACTCCGCGACCGTTCCGGAGAGCTTTATCTCCTCAACCTGGCCGCGCGGCTAAACGAGGCTAAACATAATCCGCAACGGGACGTGTTCGCAGGAGGTGGCTGGCGAGCAACGCGCGCGCGCACACACACGCTTCTCTGCTGTCCGGATTCCACCGTCGCCGTCCGTTCCGTATGGCGCGATTTTTTTGCCCGAAGACTCAAAGGCAAAAGCTATTAACATCGTGACTTTTCTTCCGTTCAACGGCCAGAACTCATTACCACGTCGTATAAGAGTTCCGACAGTTTTCGAGGTAAAGTTGGATTAGAGGTTGGCAGCTCGTTAGCCGACCTTATCGATCGTTTCTCTTGGATACCATTGTGCACGGCGTATTAATTAAAAAATGAAAATCCAGTGCCCGTCCAACACACGAGGAGGTTCTGTAATTCCCCAAGTTCCGTATCCTCTCTCGCACCCTTTTCCCTCCGCCCTCTCTCACCTTCGTCCAGAAATGGTCGCGAAGTTAAATTACACTGGATCGCTTATCGATTTTCAATTTACTCTCAAGTATCAATAATTCAATGAACTTTGGAATACTACTTAGAATGAAGCTAGCAAAAGTCTCAATGGGCCATGGTTTATCTTTTCATACCTCTCTCATAGTCGAGAGCACATAAATTAATGCAGGCTCGCTGCAAAAAATGTGGTGGACGTTTCAAGTCCGATCGATAGAATATTCTGAATGATAGTACAAAGTCGTATGTTAGAAGTACACCTGGGAGCACACGGTCGCGTTCGACATAATCGTTGACAACCGTGAGAAGCAACATATGCGATTTTACCAAATCATTATCGATATGGCTCTAATCAAGCGCAAACAAGGGGGACTCTCGCGCCGCGTTCAAATTACTAGCAAATGTGTGTTACAGACAGGTGAGGGTGTCGAGGTGACATCTCGCGATCACTCCGGTCCGCCAATTTATCGAAAGAAAGACTAATGGTTGCCGGAGGGTGACGCTTGGTGAAGTCTGTGGTGGGATGAAGAGAAAAAGGGAGAGAGAGAGAGACAGAGGTAGAGATAAAAAGAGAGTGCGAGAAGGGTATGGAGGGGCAAGGAAGAGCAATGACAGATACCAGCGTCGGAACCGATCGATCTGGAACGAAATAAAATATGCTCGCGAGAGCACGGGCGTAATTACGAGCGCTGAAGAAAAATACAGCGCGCCATTACCGGAGGGTTAAGTGAACCTGCTCTGATCGGCTTGTACGGAAAGGAGAAAAAGAGAAGGACGAATACGGGGAAGGGGGTCAGCAGTGCGGGAAACACGGGGAGAAAGCGAGATAGGGCGAGGACGATGGTGAGATAGAGACGAAGAGTAAAGCGGGGCAGGGCAACGAGGGGCAGCAGAGCGAGGTGAGGCACCGGAGGAGAGAAGTATTACTCAGATAACTGAGACGTGGAACGAATGAACGAAGGGAACTTCGGAACGGGTAGGAACGAGTCGTAGGAGGTCGGACGAGGCAATGGGGAGTGCTCGCTCTCGCGGGGACCGAAGGGAAAGTACAGTTTGCGTGTTCGGGCGCAAGTTCGCCTTGGCTTCCGGTTGCTCGCATGCTACAAGTCCACTTGTATTAGGCCCGCCGCCGCGCCGTACGAATACGCCGCGCCGCGCCGCACGCCCGCCCGCCCGCCTGCCCTGCCGCGGTTCAGACGTAGTCAGTCAACGGCACACGAACGCACATGAAGCACACATTCCCTCTCTCTCGTTCGGGCATTTACGATCGAACGCACGAAAGCCGTTTCGGCCAGAACTCACCCTTCCCCCGGACGCGGAAGCTAATCGCCGGTTGAATTAATTCCAGAACTGAGAATGGCTTCTGCCGACATGCCGGCGCTTTACTATCTGGAAATGGAAAGATATCGGACTATCGAGTGCGACTAATGGCCGCCGGAAATGCTAGACAGAGCGTGTGCATGCAGAACGCGATTTCGATTGCGGCTTAGCCGCGAGTATGTGGATAAAAGGTTCGAGGTCGTGCGTTTTGCTAAATTCATGTGACCTCGCCCGACCCTGGGGCTCGGGAGGTGAACTCTGATGTGGTTAGGGAAACTACCCGTAGACTAGATACAATCGGTCGTTACAACTTTCGCGGGAAGGCATATAAAAGCTATTACACGCGGGCTAGATAATTTCTATTATTACGAGAGTCGTGCTGAAGATAATAGAAAGTTGCTTTGAGATATGCCGAATAATAACTCTATCTTAAGCCCACTTTAGATGATCTAGAATTCGCGTTACATTTATGAATTTTGTAAAAGCTATGAATTCTATTTATAATTTTATATACTGCATTTTAATGTATATTTTATATATTAAATATGTGTATATTCTGATTCTTCAATAATTTTTCGTTTATATTTTAGTACATAAAATTAGAAATGGAATTCTGTTCTAGTAGATTTTATACGTCATTCAAAATTAAGAGAAAAAATATGCATATTTTAATTTTTTACATAAAAGAATATTTCCACACATGATACAACATTTCTTTTGCAATGAACGCGCTCCGAAAGCTATTCAAAAACACGTGTGTTTTCTCTGTTCCTTAATTATCATGCACAATATTTCATTCACGCGACAGATCCAGCCTCGCGTTTCAATTAAAAACCCTCCCCTCCTGGATACGAGCAAACTCCATCCGTGCCGGCAGTCAGAAATCAATGAAAAATTTTCAGGATTAATTTCGAGGAAAATGGTGAAAACACCGTGTCCGCAACGCGCGTCGAATCAAAGTACTTTTTTGTGATTCCATATGGGGGTAGTTAAGTTAAATAATGAATGAGAGGATTGGCTAGCTGAGCCGGTCTGCTGGGGGTTCGGCTCGGTATACCGAGTTGCTTTGATGTCTGGCGGCAGCCGCCGATTATGGAATCAATTATTGCGCGGTGTGCTCCCTCTTTCGTCCTCTCTAGCCTTTTCAATCCACCACGCTTCGGGCTTTCGCTCGCTTTCCCCTCTTTATCCTCCCTCTATATATATCCTATTTTCTCTCCTCTATCTCCGTCTTGCTTCGTGACGGATGCGAAGGAAAAGATTTATTCCGTATAGGAAGAAATTACACACACGGACAGAATCACGGTGAACCGATTCCACGGAAGGTCAGCGGAGGTCCGAGCTCGGGTCCATCCGTGTACATAAGGATACCGCTATTATCGTCCCATAATCTACGCCAATTACCTCCGAAGACGGGCAGTATCGCGGAAATAGAACCTTAACTGTCGGTACGTGCTTATTTCTCCCAGTTATAACACTCGGAATTAATTTTAATGAGACAAACCGCGCGATTTTGATAAACACTTTGCGAATAATTACATCACCGTTAATCATGGAAAATGTCGTTTCGCTATTTGCGAATCAAAATAGTTGACTCTTTTTATTATTTATACAACATTCGCATTTAAATTATCGTCATTAATAAACTATATTGGAATTTGAAATTTATAAATCTAATTTATAAAGCGACTTGGAAGCATTAAGGAATAATGAAAAGGAGCAAATTACAAAAATTTACTATTTATTACATCTTATTACAATATCACAAGTCAAATTAAAAAGTTAACATAAAATAGCGTAGATGAACGAAGTGTACCTTTTCTAGAAATATTTCTTTTTTATATACTGTGTCTTCTTGGAGTCTGTAATAGAATTTGTAATAGAATGGGATTAGTCGATGTCACGAACAATATGTATACATGCACATTAATATATATAATATAAAGAGCCATCGCAGTTGCACGTTGTCTACTGGTTGCGTACGCTTTTTTTTCTACTGATTAGAAAAAATAGATGGTTACCTCAAAGTTTTCGATCGATCAGAAAATTTAATGTAACAAAAACTTGATTTAATTAATGATATAAAAGAATTTGGAAAAGGTTATTGCTTACTAACATTGACTCTTATTTTTTTTGCTCTCTTTGATGGAAATCACGTAGCGCTGCGGTATACTCAGCGGCGGCGAATAGCCGGTCTCGTAAGCGCCGTCCTCGAACAGGATCTCGTATTCTTCCGTGGCGACAGTTGGCTGTTGCTGAACGACCGCCTTGTAAAAGCAAGTAGTTTGCGGGTACAGCGCCATTACCGTGGATCCTTTCGGGAACAGGGCGTGCGGATCGGTCTCGGGATTGGCCCTCATCAGCGGTAACGGTACCACTCGTCTCCGCGACAGCGTGTGACGGTCCTTCTGCTCCTCGTCGATATCGTCCACCTCGTATTTATTTGTCGCGGGATTAAATTGCACGACCTCCGCGAGTATCCAATTCTCTCCCTCCTCGTTGCCCTTCACCAAGGCAGCCACTATATCGCCCGTCTTCGCGATGTACGTAGGCTCGGCGGGTATCGCGCCGCACAACGGTGGCGGTTTGGCGCCCGGTGTCTTTCCCACGTAGAGGGGCAGGGTCTGCGCCGTGTTCAGCAGCATCTTCATCAGCGCGCCGCGCCTGATGGTTTCCTTGTTGCCGGCCTGACGCGCCTGTATGCGCCGTTCATTTCGTATCGTGCGTATCTCGTTAATCTTGCTGAGAGCCTTGCGCAGGATGTCCTCTTCCTGCTGAGTATCAGTCACCGCGGCGTTGTACAGGTTTTTTAACTTTTGCTGGTAGTAAGGGGAGACTTTGTCATCCGGCGTGACCTTCTCGTGGGTCTTCATGATGTTGTTTAGATTGTGCTCGGAGCGGACTCGTTGATTTTCAATTTCGTGCACGAGATTGTAAATATTTTTCAGGCGCTCCTGTATCTGAGTCGCCGCCGCGTCCGCCGTGAACGGCATTGTGAAGAGATATATATGGGAGTTACAGATGTTAGTCCAGTAACTGGTAACCTAACGGAATATGCTATCGATCGTTTCCCTGTAATGAAAAAGTACAAAACGCACGCTTTAGAAACGTTTCCTCAACGTGCTTTTTAATTATCGATTTAGAATCAATTAAATGAAATAATATTCATATCACAATTTAATAAAGTAATATTAAAGTATAAATTTATTAAAATAATATTAAATGTTTTACATTAACAGCATTCACGATATCTTATTATGTAATATTAAACGTTCCAACAATATTTAAAAAAAAAAAATTTTTAAATTAGGTTAAGAGTTCATCAGTGTCAAACTCGTATTTTTCAGAAACATGCTTTAGTCTAAGATTCCACGTTCTATGTCATGTGCGTGTTAGCAGTCATTCCGAATGCAGTTAGCAGTTTGACATTTCTCCAAAAACTATGTCGCTCGATTTGACACGATTTAATGCGAGGCGTGCAATCGCGCGCGTCATTCATTTTCAAAACTCGTTCAATGAATTTTACGCGTACTACGTCCGCCAACGGCGCCAACAGCGCTCGTGCTTAAAATGGCCGAGAGTCGGCGCGGCACGACTGGATCAATACACTTACCCGGTCGGGAACTGACGCATGTCCGATTGAATAATTGCCCGATGAGTCTCCGACGAATAACGTTTCGATCAAAGGTTTCGAGACACCGGTAGTTCTACGCAGGGCTTCCTAACGCCGAGGTGCGAGAGGCACTAAACGTTACGAGATGCTACGCGTTCGGTCGTTCACGAGCATCTGCGCCACATTGCTTCTCCCACTCTCTGGCCACAACAGGTCGATTGAGTTTTCCTGTCAAGGCGATGCTGCCACCTGGTAGCAAGATCTGAAAACAGTGCATCAGTGATGATAGTGCTGATCATCGCAGAGCTGGAGTCACTAGTACCCATTGTGTATCTCAGAGTTGCTTGACAAATTTATTAATCGTCAATGTACAGAATATTTTTACAGTATGTTTTGCACATTTTTAAATATTAATATTACATAATTATATTGATTATATTAATTATATATTATTTGTGAGATAGAAGATTGTTTATCTTTTTTTTTTTTAATTTTATATTAAATAAAATTGGGAAAATCCATGTGCTTTGAAAAAAGAATTAAAAAGTTTTAGATGAAAGAGCACAATTGAAGTCCACGACGGCGATTTTGCTTCAAATTTGTTAAAATTTTGTTTTGGCGCACATGGCAATCCTTTTGCATCGGTCTAATAGCGAATCGAGTCATTTAATTTACATAAGTATATTGGAGAGAATAATCTAACAAAGTGCGGACAAATATTTCGAGTGTCTGTACGTGCGCGAGAATACATATTACGTGTTACATAAATTATCAAATTATCAAGCTTTCTCGATATGATTCGATCGCAACTTTCTCTGCTTTACTTTTTATTTGTTGCAACAATATCATTAGATATCTGTGAAAAACAAATATTGATTTTGAATATCACGGATATTGGATACGTAAATTATCAGACATCGCTTTAAATACATTCTAAATATTTTTTTCATCTTAAGATATGAAAGGTTTCCATCGCAAAAATATCTAATTAATGACTTAATCTCGAATATTTAATGCTATGAATTATAGTGAATGAGATTATCTTTTTTTGTATCTTTCTTATAAGAATGTCTTTCACGGCGATTTGTACCGCGTCAGTGCTATTACTATACTTGAATCGTATTCAAGATATTTCATTAAACGTTCGATCGGACATTCCATTACTTGCAGTGAGGTATGTGTGCGCGCCAATGATAAAGTCGTTTCGATATGCAAAAAATGGTCATACGCTGATAATTTTTCTTAGGACGAACTCGTTCCTCGTAGATCCAATCGTATATATCGTATCGCACAGACGGCTGGCTGCGGCACCAAGCGGAGGCATACATACATTGAATGTGGCGTGTATCATCGCTAACAACCAACAGGTTAACCGCGCTAACAGCATCGATAGCACCGCAGAATGCCATAACTCATTCGCGCCGAGGCATGCCAAGGCTTGGGAAAACTGAATCTAATCTCTTGATTAAATTCATACTTCCGCGGTGAGATTTCGCATTATCGTACTTTGATAAACGTAGCCATCCATTTGTGAATTCTCCATAATATATTGATAATCCGTCATAGTTTAAGAACTGAGCTGAAACTGGCATAATTATAAAAAAGTTAATGCGACAAATGAAAATATCGTATCGGAGGCAAAACAGCAAAACGTAATATTTAATTACTTGTAATCTTTTTTTAATTTGACATTTGTTGTTAAAATAACAAATTAGAATACAGTAATAGGGATCGATTTTGGAGTATCTGTGCGACAAGTCATTATGGTTGTCATAAAATTACACACCATTATTGATCAACTGCGTTTCAGTGATTGCCTATCGAAGCATCCGTTTCGATAAATCGCGACGACCGGGTTTCGCCCGTGAAAACGTGTCATATCGTTCCCAGATACGCGATCTCTTGGCATATCGTGGCGTGTTGCGCGAGTTGCCTCGTGTACACGTGCATCATCGCTAACAGCCGACTGGTCTAACCGCGCTCTAACAGTGCCGATGGTGCATTGCACGGTGCACAGGACTATGCCATAACGCATCGCATGTAGAACTTGAGAGAATTCCGAGCCACGTGGACCATTACCGCGTTTGCCTTCGTCTCTCCCGAGCGCGCGTCTACATGCTCGCTGTACCGTATGCGCGTGTACACACCTGCCGATATGCGGCCTCGCTGCAAACGTTAACCCAACCGCGCTGCGCGTTCAAGCTCTTACGAACTCCATGACCTATCCGCAATGAGATGCGTGTCACGCGTGCCACCGGCGCGGCGCTCACGTTTACTGGTGCCGTATACTGGCGTCGAGAAATCGCAAACGATTTGACGGTCTTGTACGTCCCAAGAGTTTCACGCATACGTATGCGAATAATATACATATATGCACGTATGCGCATCATCGATGGGTATTTCCGATTTCGATAGAATGCTTGCAATTCGATATCTTTGATTACGACATATAATATAATAATTTAAAGTGCTTCTGCTGATACCTTGATAATCTCGGTTACTCATTTTAAGTAATAATCTAATGTAATTGCGGGAAATTTTGACATAAATAATGTAGTATAAAAACAACTCTAAAAATGTAGCGTCGTCGTTGATATTTGATGAAACCTCATCTAATTTTCGAAAATTAAGAGCATATAAATTTTATTTGAAGAAATATAAAAAAATGAGGGTACATATAATATTCTTAAACTGCATTAATGTTGTTATACGTGTCGTCTCTCGCTTTAATTATTTCGACGAAACTCAGTTTCAAGTACTCGTGTTCTCTGCTCAAGCTCTCTCGTTGGATGGAAATCAAATCCTTTTTACACGTCTGACGGATACGACCGCGAATGGGCCATTAAAATGTGCTACGGTGACGATGAACTCAACATTACTCTTCAGAATATCTACACACATACGTATGTATGTAAATGTATTTCGAAATGTGGAACAAGGTATCTAACGAGGTGTAAGAAGAGATTCTGGGCCTCGAGTAAAGTTCTCACGTCATTTCGCACCCTTCGTCTGGTACACCTGTATTTTCATTGATATCTCTTTCGACTCTCATCGCTGAATTTCGCGCGATTTATAACCCTGCGGCGAATTCCAAATCGCAATGATACGACGACAATTGGCAGACAGAGATGACGAAGAGACAGAACGAACTTTCCACTTCAGACATATAAGTTTTTATTTTAGTATTTTTCTCAATTTTTTTTACTTTGACTATTAACTTTTTATCTTTTATTCTAATATCAATATATTATTTTTATTATTACTTTTATTTTATTAATTATTCTATTAATCTTTTCACATTTCGTAAAAGATGATCGCGGTTCTAATGTTCTTTTTTTAAAAATACGACCTAGGATACAATGCATTGATGAAAAAAAGAAGAGCCTTCAGACAAAAATTTATTATACGCGGTTGTGACATTTATGTACAGTCCGGTGTATCTGTTCAGTAAATAAATGTGATGTAAGACAAAGTAAAATGATGCGGCGGAAGTGCTGCGAAAGGTACGTACATGAACATTCGCATAAATCGATCGTGCGTAACGAACGGGCTGATTCGACGGTTGCTCGCGCGATTCCGATCTTCATCTAATATCGGCGGTTTACGATGCACGACTTAACGACTCGTTGCAGTCGTTAATCCGACCACGGTGCGCCGGATACCGGCGCGCATAAACGACATTTCAAACGGATCCTTCGTAAGGCGCGGAATGAAAATGTCAAATGCAGCTACGTTACCGTTGACGCGAACGGGAAACAGGAGGCTGCATGCAAGAAAAGCAGCCGGGATGGGAGGGTTCGACTCGTAAACGCAATTTATACGCAGAGATTCGATATCTCGTGACTGTCACATATGTTCGTCCTTTTGTTTCTATTAGGTTGTTTGTCAAATCGTTCAGTGGAGACAGCGAATGGTTTTGCCAACTTCAGAACAGACTTCTTCGCGTAAAACTGAGCTAAATACGTAAACGTAGATATCAACTTTTTTGAGCTCACATTTTACCTCGAGAATCTTATATATTTAAATAATTAGCTATTATATATCCTGAAAAATATTATTAAAATTGTTATTGTATCTCTTGTTATCTGAATATTATCTTATTTTCCTGATATACTCTCAGTACATAGTCGGCATGCCATTGACAACTATATGTGAAGACATCGTGCCTCATGCATCTCCTTTACCTATTAGTATTAGATTCGTTTAAAAGCGCCAGACGCGAGTGCTTGTAAAAATAGGAGTCGTGGAGAGAATTCAAACGGTAGCCATTCAAACAGAATCGATACGTCGTGATTTTCCGTATCTGTGTAGTGCCTTTTCCCTAACTGGTATTGGACGATTTATCGGGGCGAATCGGGGAAAACAAATGCGACGGCTTGGAAAGTTGGACGCTATGTCTGGCGCATGTAAAAGTAAACGTATTACCATGCGTACACGTCGATGCGTGCCTTATCTTTTATCTCGAGAGCTTCGCTTCCGGCCCCGATAGAATATTCAACGAGGGCGACATCGTATATCGATGTATGCGCGCTGCAAACCAAATATTCCTTTCCGTCAATGTTCACGCGTGCGGCCAACGCGTGCGGCCATAATCGGATCAGTCGGACAGGAAACAGTGGAGTAGAGAGAAGGTTAAATCACGGAGGCGGCGGTGCGGTCAAGGCGTAAGGAATATTTGATTTACACCAGACACTCCGTTCTGAGGTGTCAGAGGATGCTGGGTCGCGCGTTTCGCTCCCGACGCAGAGGATACACGCGGAAGTCCCTCGGCCGCTGTATAATGCAGAACCGCGCGCATTAGCGCGATTAGATCGACATTCGAATCGACATTGTAACCTTTGCACCCTCTCTCTCTCTTGTTCATCTTACGTTTATTTTTTATAAGGCACAGCCCGGACTGCCATATGCCGTTCCGTTTGGCAGCGCGAGGGCTCTGTGACACGCGTGGCATAAGGGATAATGCACCGCCTTGTGTTTGCGCAGGGATGCTCCTACGGACGGGAATTATCGAATTTCAGAAACGCCCGCGTACGGTTCCCGTTATTATTTCAGTAAACATACGAAGCTCGGACCAGGTGAGCAATGGCAGGGCGGAACGATAGTCAAAACTAACAGGCGCCCTCGCCCTCTCGAGAAACGATAATGCCGCCTCCGTTGCTGCGAAATTTATCCATAAATATTGGCACAGAGTAATCGATGTGACGGTGCGAATATTCCATCGAGGAATGAGTGATACCGTGACAACCGGCATT